TTTTTTTTTTACCAGCATGGTTTTGTAGATTGGCATATAAAAACAACATCAAGATATACACAATCATACATCGCAATCAAGTTTCATCTTCATCTTTAAAAATGACTTCGTAAGTAATAATTTTGAATATTAAAAAATAAATTTCATATTCTAGCAATACCATTCCTGATGAGAATATATCAGAATTCTCTCCTCGCTCATATCAAGTAAATTCATTTTTTTCGTATCAAATAAATTAGTTTTTATTTCATTTCGATTCACAGACAGAAATTATGGAACAAGCTAGATCAAAAAATTTAATCGTTTGTCTACCAACTGGTAGTGGAAAAACATATATTGCTGTTATGCTTATTAAAGAATTATCACCTGTTATTCGAAGAAATCTTGATGATGGCGGAAAACGAACTATTCTTATTGTTAAAACTAGTAATTAAGTTCGATTTATCATATAAAAAAATAAAATTTATTCTTTTTCTTTAAAGAAGAACTTGCTCGACAACATTGCAAAACTTTAAATGATCATTTAGATTTGAAAATTAAAAGTTATTCTGGTTCATCGAAAATTAATCTAAGTGATAACAATCGATGGAAGATAGAATTTGAAACTAATCAAATTTTAATCTTTATTGCACAAATATTTCTTAATTTACTTGCTCATAATCTTTTTTGTAAGATGAAATTTTTATTTTATTTTATTCTTTAAACAAACATAAAATATTTTTAGCATTAGATAAAGTTAATTTATTAATATTTGATGAATGTCATCATGCAATAGGTGATGATCCTTATGCTTTAATAATGAAAAAACATTATAATTCATGTTTACATCATCCACGTATACTTGGTTTAACTGCATCAATTAGTGGACAAAAAATTGAACCAAAACGATTACAAAAAGCTGCAAAAGAACTTGAAGAGATTCTCCAGTAAATAATACCATCGGATAAGTTCGTAAATCTGTCATCCCTTTAGATCTCATTTTTAATAGAATGAAAAGATAGACCATGGAATTTTGCACATTTTTGTTTATTTAGTTTTTGTTTTGTTCAATACAAAAAAAAAAAATTTTCACGGACTAAATAATCATAGGGAGTCTATCAGTTTTGGACGTTTTCAATAATAACAATGGCAATGATAATCTTTTTTTATTGCATTGAACATAACAAAAAATAAATAGACAGAAATGTACAGAATTTCATGCTCTATCTTTCTATTCTATTGAAAGTAAGATCTAAAGCGAGTAGGTAGATTTGTAATACTAATCCGATGGTATCCTCTGTTCCTTTATCAACAAAAAATTATATATAAATAAATATTTTTAGTGCTCGTATTGAAACTGGTTCGAATCGAATGGAAATAACTGAAAATAGTACATCAGTTGA